ATACTCTTAAGTGAAATAAATAGGACACACATGTGTAAATACCAAATAGTTTCTCTAGTGTGAGAAACTGAAAGTGTAAATAAGGATGAAAATGATTAAAATGAATAATTGGTAATTTGAAATAGGAAAAGGATCAAAGGTGTAGGGGTGGCGGGAGGGGAAGGGGAATGGGAAGAAGATAAAGGAAAAATTATGAGAAAGAAATAAAAAAGGAAACAAAGTCTATGTAAATAGGGAAGGGTGGAGGGATGAAGGGTGCACAGGTAATGGGGAAAAAAATAAGAACTAAGATATTCAGGTACAAGCCCCAATGATAAATATAAATGTATTGTACAACTAAAATGTACCAATTAATACATGTATAAAAAAAGAGTTCTACCTAACCTGTCTTCCAGCTGGTTTAGTGTTTCTGTTTTAATATTTAGATTTTTAATCCATTTTGATTTTAGTTTAGTGCACGGTAAGAGATATAGGTCTAGTTTTAATTTTTGGCAAGTTGAAACTCAATTTTTCCAACGCTATTTATTAAAGAGGCAATCTTTCCCCCAGTGAGGATTTTTGGCTCCTTTGTTGAAGATGAGGTGGCTGAGTGTGTCTGGAGTTGTTTCTGAATCTTCTATTCAGTTCCACTGATCCTTGGGTCTGTTTCTTTGTCAGTACCATGCTGTTTTTAATCACAGTAGTTTTGTAATATAGTTTCAAGTTGGGGATTGTGATACCTCCTACCTTGTCTCTGTCGCCTAGAATTGCTTTTGCTGTTCTAGGTCTCTTCTTGTTCAAATGAATTTTTGGATTTTTTTCTCAAGGTCTGTGACATATGCTATTGTAGTTTCAATTGGGACTGCGTTGACTATATATAGCAGTTGTGGAAGTATGGCCATTTTCACTATGTTGGTTCTTCCTGCCCAGGAGCAAGGGATGTCTTTCCATTTTTTTTATTTCCTCTTGGATCTTTTTTTTCAGAGTGCTATAGTTTTCAAAGTAGAGGTCTTTGATTTCTTTTGTTAGAATGATTCCTAGGTATTTCATTTTTTTGGATGCTATTGTGAAGGTAGTTATTTCTCCAGTTACTCTTTCAGTGAGTCTATTTTTTGTGTACTGGAAAGTTACTGTTTTTTTCTCTTAGTCTCTTTTGCATTGATTTGTGCTATGATCTTTATAATTTCCTCCCTTGTATGAGCTCTGGGTTTGTCCTGTTCTTTTTCTAGAAGCTTGAGGTTCAGCATTAGGTTGTTTATTTGAGCTCGCTGTGTTTTCCTAGTATGAGTATTCACTGCTATGAATTTCCTTTGTAAGACTACTTTCATTGTGTTCTATAGATTCCCATATGTTGCATGGGCATTAGCATTTAATTATAGAAACTGTCTGATTCCTCCTTTAATTTCCTCTGTGATCCACTGGTTTTTCAGTTGTTCAATTCCCATGTGTTTATGACATTCTTGAAGTTTCTATTGTTACTTATTTCATCACACTGCAGTCTGATAATATACAGGTGATAGTTTCAATTCCTTTGCACTTACTTAAACACGTTCTATGAGCTAGTATGTGATCTATTTTGGAGAATGACCCATGCGCAGCTGAAAAGAATGTGTGTTCTGATTTTGGGGGGTAGAACACTCTGTAAACATCTGTTAAGTCCATTTGTTCAAGAGTTTGAATGAGTTCTAGTATTTCATTGTTTATTGTTCATTTTTTTTCTAGTTGATCTATTTGTGACGGTGGGATATTAAGGTCCTCCACTACTATTGTATTAGTGCTTATATGATTTTTCATGTCCATTAGTAATTGTTTTATATAGTTGGGCACACTAGTGTTTGGTGCATATATTTTTATGATTGTCATCTCTTCCTCTTGGATTATTCCTTTTACAAAGATGCAGTGGCCTTCTTTGTCTCTCTTAATTAGTGTTTGAAATCCATTTGATCTGTGAAGAGGATAGCTACTCCTGCTTTTTTTTTGGTTCCTGTAGCATGGAGTATTGTTTCCTACCTTTTAACTTTCAGTCTGAGTTTCTTTTTGAATTAAGTGTGTTTCTTGTGTGCAGCGTATTGTTGGATCTTGCTTCTTGACCCATTCTGCCAGTCTATTTCTTTTGATTGGTGAACTGAGACCATTAACATTGATGGTTATAACTGATATGTGTTGACTTATCCTTGTCATGATCTCTTCCTGTTGTTGGATTCTCCCCCTTTACATTTAATTTCTTGTTTTGCCTGATGAATTTATTCTGCTGGGCTTCCTGTGGTTGTGATCCTCATTGTCTTTTCCTAGGATATTGTTTAAAATTTTTTGGAGTGCTGGTTTGGTATTCACAAAGTTCCTCAGGTGCTCTTTGTTGTGAAAGTATCTCATTTCTCCACCAGTTTTGAAAGATAGTTTTGCAGGGTACATCAATCTGGGTTGGAG